GGACCAAGAAAGATGGAGACACCAGCACTGGGAGGAAAGTGAGCAATGAGAAGAGATTTGTGACAAGAGTAATAGCAGAGGTAAGGCCCCGAGGTGGGAATTAGCTAGGTGGGTTTGAGAACTAGAAAGAAGACCTGTGAGTCTGGTGCTCAGGGGAGAGAGAAATCTTGGAGCCACCAACACAGACATGGTTTTAGTTATAGGGCTGAATAAGATCACTGTTGCAGAGTTCTTGGTTGAAAACAACAGGATCTCCTCTAGCGTGAAGGTCAAGCAGACAGGGAGGAGATGGCAACAGATCTTAGGAGGAACATCAGGGAAATCAGAGGAAAACCAGGGAAGAGAGGGATCGTAAATGTCTCAAGAACAAGGTGTCTCAGGAAGGAAGCAAGCAACTCTGCTGAACGCTCCTGCGTGGTGAAAGAGTGTGGAAGTAGAGAAGTGGCCGCTGGATTTGGAACATAGAAGTAACTGGTAACCCTGATAAATGAACTACACGTGACCTGGTGAATGGTCCAGGGATGGTGAGATTTGGAGATGCTTACCCTAACAAAGCTCATAGTGAGCTGATGACAAAACCAAAATACTGATTTGGAGAGAAAAGCATAACTGCTGTGTGCAGTGGGCAGTGAGTGATTGGATGTTGCCATCAGCCTGACCAGGGCTTCTGCTCCCTCTAGGATATGCCTTCATCAGAATTCAAATTATCAGAAGGTTGATTGGTGGGAGTGGAAGGAAAAATGTTTAATGAGATGAGCTTCTGCTATTTTATTCTATTCATCTTCAAATTACTAAATATATCAACCAGGTACGCCAAAAGCTCTCCTTGGCCAAGCAAGGCATCTTCTCCCAAGACAGAATTCCAGCGGGCATAGCCAACCTTTGCCTTTTTGGTGGATTTTTACTTCCCACCATTTAGTGGCTGACCAAAATCATACCTCACTGACAAATGATTTAATACCCTTTTTCATATAAATTTTGGTGTCTTCAATCAAATTACGGTCAGTTTTCACAGGTCTAGGAGCTATTTTGACTTTGCATTTATAATCCACTTGACATTGATTTCACAGTCTTTCTTATTATGGTCATCTTATTTCCATCATTTCCAAGTTTTTGAATATTATTTTAAATCTTTTTGCATGGCTACATTTATTCTCTCTGCGTGTCAGAAATATAAACCTTAATCTCAAGAGTGGTCAAATTTATCTGCCATCTACTGGCAGAGAGTTTTTAAATTCTATTTTCTTCAGCCTAAGAAGTTTAACCTTATTCTCAAAAAAATAATTTTTACCAGATAGTTTTGAATAGATAATAAACATAACCACTGGATTTCAAAATTGATAGAGAAAAATACAGATAAAGAGTTCCATCAATTTGAGTGTAGCACAAGCCAAAACATGTTCATGAAAATAAGTCCTTATAACTGACATCTGAAGTAATAGTCAGCCCATAGGCCAGGAATCAATATCATTAAAAATGTTTGTTTTCTCTGTAATAACATACTTTAGAGGGATAGGAGAGATTGTGAAGTCAGACAGGGACGGAGTGACAGAACTCCTAACACACCTGCACCCTTCAAATTAGAAATCATGGTGGTTGACCCTGTGAATATTCTGAGAACTTTTTTTTCCAAGATGTCAGACTAGAAGCTTTTCCAACATAAATCACCCAACTTGGAAGTAGCAAAATAGTGTGTGGAGATTCACACTGTGAACTTTTATCCAAGAAGGAACACAAGAGTTCAAGAGAAAAGCAAAAGAAAACTTCAGATACTGGGAAAGACACGGTGGGCAGGAAACCCCCATGGCGGGGTCTGGCTGAAAACTGTGAGTGAATCCCAAACAGGGGAGAAGAGGAGTGAGTGTCTGTCTCTGTGATTCGCCTCACTGGGAGATAGTGCAATCCCGGCTGTGGGAGAGCACTTTGACTCTCCTAAGCCCTGGGTCTAGTTTAGGGAGCAGCTGGGAGTCTGTGAGAAGGAATGGCACTGCAAGTGCTTCATGTAATTTCCCAGACCTGATGGGGATTGCCACTCTCAATACTAGCTCATAGCAAGCAGTGTGACATCCTGCCAGCCAGCAGGGGTGGCAGCGCTGGTGTTAGAGAGCCTTTGTGTCTCCAGAGGGGGAGAGGCCCCAGAGCCAGAACTGAGAAACAGTGTGACATCACATTACCTGACTTTGAATTATGCTACAAGTCTATAGTGACCAAAAGAGCATGTTACTGGCACAGAAGTAGATACATAGATTGATGGAACAGAATAGAGAACCCAGAAATAAAGCCACACATCTACAGTCAACTGTTCTTTGACACAGGTGACAAAAACATACACTGCGGAAAAGACATTCTTTTCAATAAACAGTGCTGTGAAAATTGAATAGATACATGCAGAAAAATGAAAGTGGACCCCTATCTCTCACCATATACAAAAATCAACTCAAGGTGGATTAAAGACTTAAATGTAAGACCTGAAACGATAAAAACACTAGAAGAAAACCTAGGGAAAACTCTTCCGACATTGGTCTAGTTAAAGAATTCACTACTTAGACCTCAAAAGCACAAGAACCAAAAACAAAAATAGACAAATGGGACTAATTAAACTAAAAAGCTTCTACAGAGCAAAAGAAATAATCAACCAACTGAACAGACAACCTACAGAATGGGAGAAAATATTTGCAGACTATGCAACTGGCAGGGGGCTAATATCTAGAATTTGCAAGAAACTCAAAAAACTAAACCAACAGACAAATAAAAAAAATCATTAAAAGGTGAACAGAGGACATGAATAGACATTTTTCAAGACACTCAAATGATCAACAAGCATATGAAAATACACTCAATATCACTAATCATCAGTGAAATGCAAACTAAAACCATAATGAGATATCATCTTATACCAATCAGAATGGCTATTACTAAAAAGTCAAAAAATAACATATATTGGCCAGGATTCAGAGAAAAGTGAACACTTATACACTGTTAGTGGGAATGTAAATTAGTGCAGCCTCTATGGAAAACAATATGGAGATTTCTCAAAGAACTAAAGATAGAACTACCATATAATACAGCAATCCCATTACTAGTTCTCTATCCAAAGGAAAAGAAACCATTATGTTAAAAAGATACCTGCACTTGTATGTTTATTGCAGCACTATTCCCAATAGCAAAGACATGGAATCAACCCAAGTATCCATCAGTGTATGATTGGATAAAGAAAAATATGTATTTCTTACTGTATGAAATACTATTTGAAATGGTATTAATACCATATAGTATTAATAGTATAGTACTAATAGTCTTAATACTATATGAAATAGTATTTCATATATACATGAAATACTATTTGGCCATAAAAAAGAATGAAATCATGCCTTTTGCAGCAACATGGATGGAACTAGAGGCCATTATCTTAAGTGAAACAACTCAGAAATAGAAAGCCAAATACTACATATTCCCACTTATAAGTGGAATCTAAATAATGTGTACTCATGGACACAGAGTGAAATGAAGACATTGGAGGCTTGGAAGGGTGGGAAGGTGGGAGAGGGGGTGTGGCAAGAAATTACTTAATGGGTACAATGTACATTATATGGATACACTAAAAGCCCAGACCTCACCACCATGCAATCTATTCATGCCACAAAATTGCATTCAGACCCCTTAAACTTATACAAATAAAATTTTTGAATAAGAAATAAAAATTCTGAGGAAATAAGAAAGCAGGACTTCCTATTCAGTTTAACTTGCCACCAAAGGAAACTAAAGTGACAAATCCCAAAGCACATGAAATGAGCCTTAATTCCAAAAATCCCTTTGCCTGTTTTTTCTGAATTCTTTACCTTCCTCTTTCTACAATCACGGTTCAAGAAAGAGACAAGAACTACTAGCTTGGGTGGGCGATGGCATTTGATACTTAACTAAAGATTCCTTCACTTTCTTTAAATGTACTAACATTCTTAGTCCCATTTTACATAAGAAAAAACTGAGACTCAGAGAAATTAAAATTACTTGCCCAATGTCAAAATGTTAGTAGTGGCAGAGTCAATACTTATTTAGGTCACATGACTCCAAAATACAAGCTCGTCTTAAATTGTGCTTTACACCTTTATGAGGTATAATTGGCATACAATAAACTATGTATTTAAAGTGTACAACTTGATCAATGTTGACACATATACACCCATGAAACCATCACCACAATCAAGATAATGAACACAGTCATCATCTCCCAAAATTTCCTTATGTCCCTCCTCTGCCCTATGCCCAGGAAACTACTGATCTGATTGTTGTCACTGAGATTACTTTGCATTTCCTAAAATCCTATATAAATGTAATCACATAGGATATACTCTTTTTTGTCTTCTTTCACATAGCATAATGATTCTAAGATTCATTCATATTATTGCATGTATTGATATTTGTTTTTTATGGATAAATAATATTACATTATAGGGCTGGGTCATAATTTGTTTATCTTTTCACCTATTGATTGTCATTTGGGTTATTTGACATTTGGGGCATTAAAATAAAGATGCTGTTAACATTTGTGTGCAAGTCTTTGTATGGATATATGCTTTTATTTCTCTTGGGTAAATATCTAGGACTTGAATGGCTAGGCAGTATGGCATATGTTTAACATTTTAAGAAATTGTCAAACTGTTTTCACAAGTGATTGCACTATTTCACATTCCCACTATCAGTGGATGAGGGTTCCGGATGTTTCACATCCTTGCCAACACTTGATGTGGTCAATCTTTTTAATTTTAACCATTTGAGTGGCTACATATGTAGTAATATTACATTATGTTTTCAGTCTGCATTTCTATAATAACTAATGATGTTGAGCATCTTTTCATGTGCTTAATAGCCATCCATATATTTTCTTTGGTGAAAAGCCTGTTCAAATCTTTTTCCCATTTTTATTAGATCATTTGTCTGTTACACTTCAGTTGTAGGAGTTCTTCATATAATCCATATCCAAGTCACTTATCAGATATATGTTTTGAGCTATTTTCTCTCAATTCATGCCTTGTGTTTTCATTTTCTTAACATTATCCTTTTTTAAAAAACAAATATTTTCAATTTTGGTGCTAAACATTCTCTCTAAGCACTATTTTATCTGTAGCCCCCCAATTCTAATATATAATGTTTTCATTGAAATACACTTCAAAATACTTTCTGAATACTAAGTATTTCATCACTTCTCAACCCTCAGTCCTCTTTCTTCAATCAAATCCAAAGAAAGAGACAGAAAAACTATCAATTGGGTAATGGTGCTTAACAATTTTCAAAACATTTCTTCACTTTATTGAAACCTACCAATACTATTAATCTCCTTTACAGAGGAGGGAATTATAGCTCAGGAAATTAAAATAACTTGCCCAGTGAATAAAGTACAGCGAAATATCAGTAAAGGCAAATTCAAACCTTACTCAGGTCATCTGACTCTAAATCTCATCCTCTTTCTACTGTATTTTATCCAGATCTCTAAAATTCTAAGGTAAAGCCTTTTTGCAAGTTAAATTTCTAAGACAGTTTGCATTTTAAAAGATGACCTTCCAGTGTATCCCAAGGATTCTCAGATGTCTAAATGTGGTGATGTCAGGCACGGAAGCTCTAGAAAAGCAGTCAATATCTTTGCCTATCCAGTGCTCTCTGATCTTTGAAAGCACCCTCTGAGGGCAGCCCTAGCCACAGTTCATCTACCATGATCCAGGTGAGTCACATTTCATCTCTGCTGAGCAATTTCAGTGGCCTGGCAAATGGTTCTCAAGTTGGCACTTAGAAGACTCCCCTTGGGAGTGCCCGGGGATTGCCTGGTGCAATCCGTATGGAATGAAATACAGGAATCTGTATTTCTTGACACGTATTTTAGGTAATTCTGATGCAGGATGTGAGTGGATCATCCTAAACTGGTCAAGAGGGGGTACAGGGTAGGGGTCAGGTAGGAGGAGAGGAGACAGCAGGGCAGGCAGAGGACTGCTTGTAAAGTGCCTTGTCAGCCCTCTTAGGAATTTAAATTTTATCCTGAGAGTGATCAGGAATAATTGAGGCTTTTAAGCAGAGGAGTCACACAATTTACACTTAAGTCACACACATTTACACTTAAGAAACATCACAATGGTGGAATGTAGAGAACAGATGAGAGGGGAGAGAAATGATGCCATGGCTACAGCAATGCTGGCGGGAGACAGTGGCAGTTTGCACCATGACAGCAGTGGCAGGGATGGGAAGACTTTAAGACAGAAAAAGCATTAACATACATGAAGAGACAACACGCATTCAAAGGGTTCAATGAAATGGAAAACATATCAAAAAACCTAATGTAAACTGTTAGTGACGGTCTATAAACAAGAAAGCAGCCTAACCCTAAAATAGTGATCTGGGGTCCAAGGGAGAACTCCTCACCCACAGGACCTCTTGTCCCTTGAGCTTCCTTGACACTGTCCTTTCCAGAGACTTATTGTTTATGTTAATAAAAGGAATTTACTGCCTTGGATCATAAAAGGTCGCTGCTCAGCCCGGGATCCGGCAACCACATTAACAACAGCCGCATTTTTCAGCAGAGGCCTCACAAAAGCAGTTTTATGGTTCTCTCTCATGAAAGCCCTTCCCAGGCAGCCCCAGAGTCCCCTGTTGCACTTGGTTTAAGGGCTCAGGTGCTCTGCACTTCATTATAGCATCACCACTCAGCGTGCTATAAAGCTCAGGAATGAACTTTGTCCCACGTCCAGCGTGAAATGCATTCAGAGAAACCTTGGCGTGGACGGCCACCTTTAGTCCTGGGACTCTGCGCACATTGCTCTCGTGAGTAATGTAAATCCAATCTGTGGAGATATATATACACACACACTATTTATTCTGTCCAATAATGTTTTTAATCATATCATATGTCATCTCCCTGAGGCTGGTACAAAAGGTTATAGGGTTCAACTCTCACTGAGGTTGCCTCTTGATTAAGTCAAGTATATTTTTAACTTATGTGGTTTCTTATTAGTTTTCTAAGCAACATCACAATCCAATAAAGTGGTAACAATTTCCTTTGTATTCAGTTAAAGGAAGAAAATTGTTAGGGGAATAAAGGGGTGATGCTTACCAGAAAAGCACAAACAAGAAAAGGGGAGTAGAGGGAAGACTGAGAAGTCACTGAAATTAGCAAATAGGAAGAAGAGGCCAGTTTTAAGAGAGAGTGAGGAGCTGCAGGGACAATGGTTCTCACCCCTGACCTCACCCTGCCATCACCTGGGAACCCTTAGAGACTAAAGAGCCCCACCCAGACCAATTAGCTCATAACTCCTGGGTGGGGCCCCAGGCAAAGGCATGCCTTTAAAACTCTACACACCTCTCTAATGTGCAGAACTGGGAACCCACTTCTATAGCAAATGTAAGAGGACTGACATGGAATTTTCAGCATCCAAGAATTCCTACTTGATGTGCTGTGGTGCAAGAATTAATCCAAGGTACTTGTGTCTTCTACCCCACATTAAAATGTCTGAGTTTTTAAGAAAAAAAATTCAGTGAATGAAAGACCATTTTTTAAAATTTGGTGTTTCAGAAATGAATATAGCTTTATTGGTTTTTTTATCTTTTAAAAACATACATCAGATAATGTCACTTTTAGAAATGATGATAGCTTTGCTACCTTTTCTCATCCTTTTAAAAATGTGAATCAGATCCTTGTATTTAGAAGGCCTGGGTAGACGGACAGAGAGAGGCCGCCTACCATTTATTTAAATGTGTAAATTGATAAATCAAGCTAATAACCTGTTAAATAAAATGTACACTATCTTTTTACTTTGATAAATTATATGTATAAAACTAGTATTATGACTAGTTCTAGCTACTGAATCTTAGATATATATCATGGTGGCATTATATACAGGTTTGTAACGTTAAGAAAATCTAGTTGTTGGGTTTCGCTTTTTTTGTTGTTGTTTTTGCATTTTTGTTGTTGCTTTTTCTAAATAGGTGATGATATCATATATAATTTCTGAATAGGAGTATTGTCTAACATCATAATGTTTATTTTTAATCTCAGTAAAAGTCATACCTTTAAGGTAAAGAAAAACAATAAAATCAAATAAAAATAAAAATAATGGAACACTGCATGCAACTCACCGCAGCTACAGCAAGTCCTCCCAAAAATCTGAGGTTTTACCTTCCACAATTTCGGTTACCCACAGTCAACTTTAGTTGGAAGATATAAAATGGAAAATCCCAGAAAGAAACAATTCATAACTTTTAAACCGTGTAGCATTCTGAGTAGCTCTGCCCTATACTTGTCAAGGTTGTGCCAGATCCTCAATTTGCCCCTCCAGGTCAAACACCGACCCATCTCCACCTCAGTTGGTGCCCAGCAGGCTGATTTATACGGACTCCATCAAGGGACTTAACATTTGGACAGGCCACTCTGGGGCATCGTATGTTGTCTCTCCCTCTCCGCTCCATCAAAACTTTTGTCTGTGTGTTCCTGTGAGAGAATATAGAAGTAAATATCCCCCTTCGCAAAGTCCCCGTACCTATGGGGACATGGAACACTAATCGAGAGCCCCAGGTAAGCACTGTAACTCCCGGGAAAGCAGCTCCAGCAGAGCCTTCCTTTCCTTGCAAGCAGCTTCCAGAGCAGAGCACCGAGGGCTCTAACATCAACAGCTGCAAATCCGCCCCTCAGCACATCGGCACAAATAAACAACTTCATGTTTAACAAATCTAAATGCTCTGATCTTTGTGGTTCACCATCCTCACTGGAGGCAAACTAAGAAGTCCTCCTTTAAAAGTTTTGCTCTCTAATCCATTGCTTCCCAAACATTTTCAAAGGAAAACACATTTAGGAAATGATGCTATTTGCAATGCACAGTGTGGCGAATAGTCGAGGCTGTTTGCTGCTCCAGATGGCCACCAGCCTGGGGACTCTGGCCCTGGCGTCATCTGCAGCCCCAGCCAGCTGCAGGCATCAGTCTCTTGGCACACTGCCATCCTTTGTGTGGCACGGTGAGGACACCAGTGGACGCAGCACTGGGGCATGTGCTGCCCACATCCCTGACACTGGACACCGGACTCGGATGCCACCACTAGAACCACAGCCTCCTGGCCTGTGCGGATGTCACAGTGGCCCCACTGCTGCCGTCCTCGGAATGACTGTGCATGGCTTCTTGCACAGACTGGCCAAGGGACGTGGGCTGCCATTTCTCAATGGGTGGCCTCCAAGCCTGCTTATCAGGGCCTCCAGGAAATTGCAGTGTCTTTTATTTAATGTTCGGAATTCAAAGCACTACAGCAAGATGTGCATGAAGAAGTATCACCCCTCTCCCTGCGCTCCATTGCCCCTCACAGCCACACTTAACGCTTGTGAGTCTATCCAGCATTTCCTTTGCAGACACAGTGAGTAAAATCAATATTCTTATCACTCTTTCTTTTTTTACACAAAAGGTAGTGTGCTCCATATACACTGTGTGTAGATATGGGCATTCTTTTGCCCTTTGGATTTTTGCACTTAACAAAATACCCATCTGAGTACAGAGAGAGCTTTCTCTTTTCTTTCACAGTGGCACCCATCTCCCCCGTGTGGATCCCAGCCATGGTTACTGTAGTAGCCAGGACCTATTGCTGTTTACTTGGCTTGTTCCCAATATTTTGCTATGATGAGCAGCATTGCATATGTCATTTTTTAACGTATGTAGGTATGTTTTTAGAAGAAATTTCCAAAAACAGGATGGCTTGGTCAAAGGATAAGTTTGTAAATATTGCCAAATTGTCCTCCATAGCAGTTTGTCATTTCTTACCCCTCCGGCTGCAATGTCCGAGACCGCCTGTTTCCCACAGCCTTGCCGGGGTGCACGCTCCAACCTTTGCGCTGTTGACAATCTGATCAGTGAAAAGTTATATTTTAGTGTCATTTTAAATTTCATTTTATTATGAGAGAGGTTGATCATCTTTTCATTTGTTTAAGGCCATCCGTATTTCCCATTAATAAATCCTCTTTCTGCTAGAATTAGCTACAGCTGGTTTCTTTTGCTGTATATTGTTGCACTGTTTAAAAACCTTCTCTCCCGAAGCCAGAGTGTTTCTCCAAGCAGCTGTGTTGATAGTGGTCCTTCAAGGACCAAAGTGGAGGAGCTGGATCCCACCCCAAGGGCACATCTCCCTAGACACAGAGGCAAGGGGTCAAAGGTGATCGCAGCAGCCTCCGCCCGCAGCGTCAGCCCCAGCCTCCTGGACTTCATTGCTGTCACGTGCTTGAGCCGGGAGGGAGCAATGTGGTGGCCCGTGGATATACCATTTTTTGAAGTTCTAAGTCTAGTTCATTTTTTAATAACTTCAGAACATCCACAGATGTTGTATTCTTGTGTATCCTCCTCTTTGCTTTCGTCTCTTCCTGACTTCCTTTTCTTCTTTCCCCTTTCATTTGTTTTCCCTAGGAAGCCAATCAGTGCCAGTCAAGGGGCAAGCGACGGCAATGGCGTCATTACAATTGCCCCGTGTACGTTGTCTCACCCAGCGCGTTGCAAAGCCTTCAGCAAACTCTTGCAATCCAACCTGACACCAGCATGTGGATTCTTCCCACCCAAGGTCCTGCCCTGGAGGAAATCAGGAGTGGAAGAGATCAGTGCTGGAGGTCGGGGATGGGGCACCTCTCTCAGCCTCAGAGGCCAACTCCAGCCAAGGAGGTTGGCCAGACCCTGGCACAAACCAGGCAGTGGACATCACTGAGAGAGGTTCAAGCCAGCAGGCAGGACCGAAAGCCTAACTACATACAGTGGTTACCATGAGAAGATTCCAGAGTATGGGCCCCAAACACGGTGGGATCCCACCAGTGGGCACGGGGTTTCGGAAGGAAGTAGGGAGTACAGGATTGGGGAACTGGCACCAAGAAGAACCAGCAGGTGCTAATCCGTGGTTCAGGGCAAAGTCCTGGTGCCAGAAAAGATCATGCACATAGAAAAGTCTGTTGACTGAGGAGTCAGGGAAGGCCAGTCTTCCAGCCTAAGACCAGTTTACAAGAAGGAAAAACACGCTATTGAGAGCTACATGGAAACCTAAAACTGGGCCCACGATTTGACGTGGTTATTTTAAGATGGCCTGTAAAACAAACCATTAAAATTTCAGTCTTTAAAAATATTGCCAAGTCATTTGGGCAACAGATATATATCCTCACTCCATCTTGGAGCCTGGAGGGAGCGAGGCTCATGGCCAAGGCCAGGGCCGAGAGCACTATGGGATGGGAATTAGGAACACCGCGGCATGCACTGCTGGGTAACTTTTAAAAATAGAAACAGTATTTTTATTTCATGCTAATGACCTACTTTGAAGACAGCTGTGTCAAAACATTCTGCTTCAGCAGGACTCTGTCGGGGTACACTGGAGCCTGGCCTGGGGGCCTGCAGGGAGCTTCCCCAGGGGCGCGGTGCTCGGGAGCCCAGGAGCTGAGGCCAAACCTGCAGATCATGAATTCACCGGAGCAGGGTTGCGACCAACCCCACCAAACATGTGCTACCATCAGGATGCCCCAGAGCTAGGCCAGTCTCAGGCCTCAGGGAGAAATTTATGAGAACGTTTAGGCCTGAACATATAGCAGTAACATTCGTCGGGTGTTGGGCAGGTGGGAGGGGAGGGAGGGGTGGGCATATTCACACCTAATGGGTGCAGTGAGCACTGTCTGGGGGATGGGCACACTTGGAGCTCTGACTTGGGTGGGGCAAGGGCAATATACATAACCTAAACATTTGTACCCCTGTAATATGCTGAAATAAAAAAGAAAGTTTTTTGGTAATGACAAACTCAAGAGATGAGAAGGAGAGGCAGACACCACCACTGAGAAGCTCACGGACCATATCTCTGTTCCCACCAGTCCAGAGCCGGCGTCTGGCCACCGAGCGTAGCTGGTCTGGCTCACTGAGGCCTGTCTGGTTTCCCAGGATAAGTCACAAGGAAGCACAGGAAGTATTACAGTAAGTGACGCTTTCTGCTTTGCAGCAGCGTTCATGGAACTCTTGTATAGGGTAGTTGATTATAGGAAATTATAACGGTTGTCATTGAAAGCACTCATTTATTTCGCACTTCATTATTTGCTCAACTGGCTTTCAGAGTATGTGTAAAATTGCAGTTCTGATCGTCTTTCCCAATGCAGGAGTGAAAGAAAAAGAAAGAAAAGAAAGAAGGCAGGAAGGCAGGAAGGCGAGAGAGAGAGAGAAGGAAGGAAGGAAGGAAGGAAGGAAGGAAGGAAGGAAAGAAAGAAAGAAAGAAAGAAAGAAAGAAAGAAAGAAAGAAAGAAAGAAAGAAAGAAAGAAAGAACTATCCCTTCTAAGCTTCCTTTACTCAGAACCTGTATCAGGCGTCCTCAAACTACGGCCCGAGGGCCACATGCGGGTGTTTTTGCCCGTTTGTTTTTTTACTTCAAAATAAGATATGTGCAGTGTGCATAAGAATTTGTTCATAGTTTTTTTTATATTATAGTCAGGCCCTCCAACGGTCTGAGGGACAGTGAAATGGCTCCCTGTTTAAAAAGTTTGAGGACCCCTGACCTATATCAAATAAAAAATATAGATCTAAATAATATGACAATATAATTCCACACTTTGTTATCCAACTAGCAGGGCCAACTTTTAGCTCTGTTTGCTTTTCAGATCCTAAAGGCTAGAAAACCAAAAATAAAGGGGAGAGTGTTAACTCATATTAACCAATTGGAAAAATTAGACAAGGTAGGAAAAATTTTAAAAGGACCATTAATAAAAATTGGAATATTAAAATATATATAGACAGATAGATCTTGGCTAAGTAAAAAAAAACAATAATTTGTCTATTATAAGTGAGAATATTCTACTCGATCAGTTTTCTGTATAGTTCTCTCTTGCTATCTTTCTTTCGTGTGCATTTCCTATTGGCCCCTCCGAGCACAAATCCTGTCTTTCTGGCACAAACAGGACCCGTGCGCCGGCTACGGTCCCCAGCACGGCCTCCCCCCGTCTCTCTAGGGCTGGGCCTTCAGCAGCTGGGGCCATCAGTAACTTTACTAGGTTAAGCTCACCAAGCTTTGTTTATTTATTTGTCTTTTGTCTAAACCCTCTAATCCAGGCATTTGCAAACCAGCCATAACAGCAAGTGTCTGCAGACACTAACTAATTCATTTGCTACACTTGCCCCCGTGGGGTGCTGGCGTGTAACAGGATATCTGTCAGGACACCCTGGCAGAATAGGAGTCACAGGGACATTTTTGACAGGGCACTAGTGTTGTGTCTTGATAATTTACTGAAACCACCTGGTTTCAGATTTGCTACTCTGGGTAATACCTGACTCTATTACTTTGAAACTTTTCAACCCTACAGAAAAATTGAAGGACTAGTAAAGGGGGCTGGCCCACATGTCTTTCTTCTAGATTCCCTAACTGTAAACATTTTGTCACATTAGCTCTATCTCACTGTCTCTTGATGTATGGGTGGGTGGGGGTGTACCATTTGGAAATAAATTACAGATACCACAACACTTCGACCCTAAATATTTCAGCACTTATCTCTCAATAATAACATTCTCCTACATAAGCACAATGCCATTTTTATACTCAAAGTATATAAGTTTGATATAATATCACCAAATATATAGTCCAGGTTCAAACTTTTCCAATTGACCCACTAGAGTCCTTAAAGCTGTTTTTCTTTTTTTAAATTCAGGATCCAATCAAGGACGACACATGGCACTTTGTTGCCAAGTCTTTCTGGTGTCCTCTCAACAGTTCTCCATATCAACCCCTCCCCTTTTTTGGTCTTTTATCACATTGGCATTTTTGAAGAGTCAGGTGTTTTGTAAAATGTTCCACAACCTGGATTTGTACGATCGTTTCTCTATGATTCAATTCAGGTTAACAATTTTTGATGAAGTGCTGGCAATGCTATGTAACATTTTTGATGATGCTAAGTTTGGTCATTTGGTTAAGAAGAAATCTGCTAAATTTCTTCACTGTAAAGATACTTCTCCCCTTTGTAATCAATAAAATAATAAATGATACTTTGAGATGATGTGAATATTTTTCCCTGACAGCTTTTCACCATTGGTTTATATACCCAATTAATGACTCTTGACTACATTGGCCTACATTGTAGGCATTGCAGGCAAAATGATGATTTTCTAATGCGGCCATCCCTTCCACATGATTAGTTGCCATTCTTTTGTAAAAGAGAGCTTTTCTTTCACCCCTCGTCATTTTAAAACATCACTATGAAACATAATGATTCCTTTAAAATTCAATGTTATAACCCATGATCATTATTTTTATTTTTGATGCTCATATTTTTGCAAATGTGATCAGGGGATCCTGCTTAAAGCTGGTAAAATTTATAATTTTACTACATGATCACATCTTATAATTAATTGCAGGGGAGCATTATGCCATATAAAAATACTAGTTTTTAACATCCAATCCCTTATCATTGGAGAATTAGTAATATAACGCAAATGCGCCCCAAGCACTCCACCTTCTGGAATCATCCTTCTTCTCGCTAACCTAACAAAATAACTGTGCTCCCCTCCCCCCAAAAATCGCAGGAAATCCGGCAGCATTACCAATATTTTTGAAGGTTTGGGGCCGTCTCCTCTGACTACCTATCTCCTTCTAGGCCAGCCCAGTCCCCAGCACCGCAGGCCACGCCAATGCCATGAGTGCATGTTGCCGTCTCCTGTCCTGTTTCCTCCAAGCATGGATTTGGCACCTTCTCTTCCTCTCAAGGCTTTCCTGAAAATACAACACTGTTGCAACACCAAAGACGAAATGACTTAATAACCCACATCTGATATCACCGCTCCAGGAAGTGTGATGGCGCGGATCGCACTCACTCTCCCATGCGCTCTACCCCCGCTGCTTCCAGAGTCACCACCTCCACCTCCCAGACAGGCACCAGCACCGTGCAAATGGAGTGGCGCAGCAAACACGGCATTCCTGGCTGGGTCTAGATCCACCCAGTGATCAGTTTTTAAGTTCCCTGGTCAATAGCATCACTCGCCTCTCTGCCTCCATCATCCGACCTACGTGTGTCCTTCCCACCACCGTCCTCTCCCCTCGCCTTGGCAACCCGTGCCTGCACCAGCGTCTGGAGTGGCTCTCCTGGCCCCTGGCCCCTGCCAGCTATTCCCAAGTGGCCCCATTCCTCCCGGCTCACCCATCCTCAGGGTAAGACTCTTCGCAGCACTTTTCCTTTGGCTGTCTGTTCCTTGAGGCCACCACCCCGTCCTCCTCTCACTATGCATAGCTCTCTCTTTGTATGCAAAAGCTGTCAATCTGTTGCCCTGGCAGCTTCCTACACACTGTGGCTGTCTCATTGCGGCCAACCAAACTCATCTGTGGGACAGGTTAGGCTGTCGAGTCACCACCACAATGAGGAGTCAGAACATTCCAGCTCCCAGGAGGAGGGTCACAGAAAATACTAACCCTTCAGGAAATAAACACATGAATATCCTTCCTTCAAAATCATGCCACCCCCCACACACACACACACCCCACAACACACACACACACTTTCCATTGATGTTACTCCTACCTACGGAACCCAGAAGGAAGTAAGCAAAAATTGCCATCAAAGAGACAAGGAAGTCAGCAGTCTGACCTGTAGCACACACAAGTGGCACTGGATTTCTGAGTCACTGCGAATTTTCTGCATAATTTGGTGCACAGAACCTGGCCTGGTGTCACAGCAGTGAGAAGCTCCAGCTGAACAACGATAAGCAAGCCTGATGACCGGAAACAGAGGCCAGGCCTAAGGTTTGGGCGTAGATTACACTGAGCTGCATCCAAATTTTTTTTGTAAGAATCACTAATTGTCTATGTAAGTCCATTTATTGGTGAGAGACTTTCAATAAGTACAGTCAGGGAGTTGAGGAATTAACCCATAATAACCTACTGGGAAGCAGAATAATG